TGTCTACTGTAAGGGGGAACTAAGAAAAGGCTCAGCAGAAAAGTGCCCACCAAAGTCCCCAGGCTTTTTGTTATGCATGTTGTCTATGACTGTGCGCACAGCTTACAGGACCCTGGGACATGTCCTTCAGCCCGTCAGATGATGGTGCACTCTGATTGGCTCGAGTTCTCACGAGGGTAGTCAGGACTAACGACACTTCGACTGAACCATTGAGTGAGAGGTAGGCACTTACATCTGGCACCGCAGCGGGATTAACAAAAAGCACAAGACGGACAAGAGCACATGCGGACAGATAACGTGATTGTAAACCTTGGCAGCCGAAGAAAAGGTGATTCAGTGCAGTGGAGCCGACACAAACGACTACAGTCTAAACACAACCACTGCTTGGAGCCTACAGTCTTAAAAAGTCCCCGATAAAGCACTTTTTGTATTATTACGGGAACTTTTCTTGTGTAATGAGTTATTTCACTGCTTACCGGTCTTGGTCATTGGCAACTAGGAATGCTTACCAAATTCATTTATGTCGTTGATGTCCGCATGGGTGCCCGCTAATCCAACTCTGATTAGACCGCTTAATTGTGTGAATTTTTCCTTGAGTTTATAAGGTCTGCTTGTGGTATTCTCTGTCGACAGGGCTTGTGGTAGCCCGTACTCAGTTCCGCTGCGCTGACTCATCCTGTCTTCACTTGCCAATCCTTTGGTACTCGCGCGTGATCAGACAACTTCCCTGCGCATCCTTACTCACTGCTAAGTGCCCGCGATGTCCTGTCCGTCCTATGGTTCCCCGTGGACACTGCTTGAAGCGTATACTGGCTCGAAACTAATCAATGCGCGCCGTTTCGCTTGTTTGGCTGCACAGATGACAAAGGAGACGTTCCACCGTCAAGGCTTTCCAGCAGCAAAAACACACTGACACAACTTGTCCGAGGACTTGGCGATTGCTTGGCGGAGCCTGTTGAATAGTTCCTTTCGCACAATAAAAGATGTTCCAGTCTTCTCTGTCTTCCCTGACTTTCGATTAAGGACACTTTCGGTCGTCAACACAACGACCTTCGAGAGTCTTCAAAAATTCGACAATGTGGAACTCAGGGCAAGCTTTTGAGTGGAGGGAACATCTTCAATCACTGCATCTCTAAAGTGCAATTGCTAGAACAACAGCTGACTGATGAAGTTGTTGTCCTAACGGAAGCGTGGCTTAGAATAGAAAATGCGAATTTCGACATTTCGATACAAGGTTACCAGCTTTTCCGCAAACACCGTCAGAACAGACGAGGTTTTAGGATATGTACGAACAGGAATCTCCGTTGTAGAGCAAGTGCACACCCTAGCTCAGGACTATGAAGCTATCTGGATAAAGCTAAAGAAGGTAAATTCACAGGACCTAGAACGAAAGTCACATAGATCCTAGAAAACTAGACCAGGACACCATGAATGACTTCATTAGATCATTAGATCGGAGTCCATTCCTTATGACAACGTCTCCCACAGAAGCAATAAACCTCACATACCATACACTTAATACCAGAAAAGACACATTAGTAGACGAAATATCCCCGAAGCACCAACAAAATTCCCTACATTTCTCTCAAAACGACTGAAAAATTAAGAAAACAGTTACACGACCCCTGTGTCAGTTACCTATCCACAATGCAAAGGATCAGAGAAAAACAGGATATGGCTGCTCACATCAAAAGGAACAAAAATGTGGCGGCAGAAAAACGTGCACTGGACTCCCCTGAGCAAACTGCTCAAATCTTTCGTAAACAAAGGTGTGCTCAACGTAAATTAGGACCTCAAATTATTGTCGATGACTCAGGTCAAGTCATAATAAACAACACCACAATAGCTTATCTTTTCAATGAATACTTTTCCACAAACTATTCAATAGAAAAAGAACTTGCTCCACAACCTTCTGAACTGACAACGTGCACCCTTAGCAAAATCTGTTTTAGCGAAAAAAATAGCAAAGCACCTACCAGGAAACTACATAAATCTACCTCTTATGGGACAGATAAAATTCCCCATGCATAATTAGCCAGATGATATACGCCACAATTCTACTGTCTAAACTATTTTCGCTATTTCAGTCAAACGCAACTTACCCGACATGTGGAAATACTCGAGTATTGCACCAATCCACAAAAACGGTAACCGATCTAATATTCAAAGTTATCGTGGTGTTCATAAAACTTCATCAATTTCCAAGATCCTAGAAAAGCTAGTTCACAACCAAATGCTTAATAACTTGACAAACACCAACCTCATACCTACCTCTCAACATGCATTTTACGTAAGAAGTCATGTCAGACATGCCACCTGACATTTCTAGATTTCACATCCCAAAATAGAGACAAAGGAAACACAATAGCAACGGTTTATTTCGATTTAAGAAAAGCCTTTGTCAAAGTCCCCCACAAATGACTCATAACAAAGCTTATAAGCCATGGAATTCGTCCCCCTAAAGTAGATTTTCTGAAATCATACCTCAGAAACCGTTCTCAAAAAGTACAGGTCCAAAACATATTCATAGACCCATCTCCTATCACTAGTGGAGTACTCCAAGGGACAATGTTAGGTCCTTTACTATTTCTCATTTATATTCACGACCTATCGAATATATCAACCACCGCCAAAACGTTTCTATATGCAGACGACTTAGAATTCGTATATGCATATAACAAAAGTTCAATAATAAGTGTACATAGAATGATTGAATTAGATCTTAAAAAACAAAATGGCTGGAGTTTTAAAGGGAAAATGCTA